AGAGAGATTTTCTATTATACCCCTGTCGTGACTTCGTTGGATAGGTGAGAAACATTTCTTAAAAGATAACGTTTTTCGTGCCTTGGAGTTCATTATGTTTTCAGATTTTCCTATAATTTTTCTCAACATTCAGTAGCCGCCAGGTTCACAGCAATTGCAGACCGTCGGAACAGCCAGAAGCCAAGAACAACTAAAGAAGACGACCAGATTTTTCCTTTTTTTCTTTGGCTAATTAACCTGAAATTGGGCTTATTTTTAAAAAAAAAAAATTAGGACCAAATGTGGAAATTGGATCCATTCAACCGGTCCGTGGTTATTTTGGTTTTAATTGGTAAATCAGCCCCAAGACTCCATTTGAAAGAACGGCAGCAGAACAGCAAACCCTTGGTCCCTTACCCTTCAATTTCCCTTCGAAGCAATAGCCCCAGCTAGAGGCGGTGATTGTGTGCCGCCGATGTGCGAAATCTCAGGGACAAATCTCCGACCAGCGACAAACTCCGAGGCGAGTGGTGAGGCCAAGCTGCCAGCAGTGTGCATTGGTGATTTGTGAGTTTAATAAGTTCAATACTTGAAGTTGAAGAGTTGAATATATGAATTGTTTTGGTTGTTTGATTGTCTCACTTGTCTATGATTCTGTTGATTGTTTTTCTTGTGTGTTGACGACTTGAGTCACTTGACATATTGTATTTGTTGATTTGTGCAATTGTGCTGCAATTTGCCGACCCTTTGTTGTATGTTGAGAATTTTATTTTCAAAAATTTTTGAATAGGTGCATCTATTCGTTTGACAGTTACTTCCAACAGACGTGTTCTTCATTTCAAGGGACACACCTATTCAAACGGTTACCTCAATTTTTATAAATTCAGGGCGAATTCTCGTTTGCAAAACACATTAAAAAAAAAAGATTCTTCTCTCTTTCTCTTGCATCATTAGTTCTTTTTCGAGTATCTTCTTGATTTGATCAAATAGTCACAATTTAAATCAAACGCCTCCATTGTATCCTGAGAGAGATTTTCCATCATACCCCAGTCGTGACTTCGTTGGATAGGGGAGAAACATCTCTTAAAAGATGACCTTTTTCGTGCCTTGGAGTTCATTATATTTTCAGATTTTCCTAAAAAATTTCTCAACATTCAGTGGCCACCGGGTTCATAGTAGGCACTGCGCGCAGCAATCGCAGACCGGAGAAACAGCCAGAAGCCAAGAACAGCTGAAGAAGACGACCAGATTTTTCCTTTTTTTCATTGGGCTAATTAACCTGAAATTGGGCCTATTTTAAAAAAAAAATTAGGCCAAAATGAGAAAATTGGATCCATTCAACCGGTCCGTGGATATGTTCGTTTTAATTGGTAAATCAGCCCCAAGACTCCATTTGAAAGAACGACAGCAGAACAGCAAACCCTTGGTCCCTTACCCTTCAATTTCCCTTCGAAGCAATAGCAACAGCTGGAGGCGGTGATTGTGTGCCGCCGGTGTGCGAAGTCTCAGGGACGAATCTCCGACCAGCAATAGACTCCGAGGCAAGTGGTGAGGCCGAGCTGCCAGCGGTGTGCATTGGTGATTTGTGAGTTTAATAAGTTCAATACTTGAAGTTGAAGAGTTGAATATATGAATTGTTTTTGTTGTTTGATTGTCTCACTTGTCTGTAACTCTGTTGATTGTTTTTCTTTTGTGTTGACTATTGAGTGTTGACGACTTGAGTCACTTGACGTATTATATTTGTTGATTTGTGCAATTGTGCTGGTGCAACTGCAATTTGCCGACCCTTTGTTGTATGTTGAGAATTTTATTTTTAAAAATCTTTAAATAGGTGCATCTGTTCGTTTGGCAGTTACTTCCAACAGATGTGTTCTTCATTCAAGGGACACACCTATTCGAACGGTTGCCTCAATTTCTTTAAATTCTGGGCGAATTCTCGTTTGCAAAACACATTAAAAAAAAAGATTCTTCTCTTTTTCTCTTGGTATCATCAGTTCTTTTTCGAGTATCTTCTAGGTTTGATCAAATAGTCACAATTTGAATTAAACTCTTCAATTGTATCTGACTTCGTTGGATAGGGGAGAAACATCTCTTAAAAGATAAAATTTTTCGTGCCTTGGAGTTCATTAAGTTTTTTCAGATTTTCCTACATTTTTCACAACAGAATACACAGATCGAGTCAATATATTCAACGTAACGACAATATCATTAGCTTTCCTTCGTAAATGGGTTTCGTTTCTTTTTGGGTGGATGACTACGAATTTTATTTTTATTTTTTCCAAATTTGGGTTTCAATTTCAAGAATTGAGTAGTGTGTTAAGTTTTCACCTTTTTAAATTTGGGTTTTAGTTTCACAAGTTCTACAGTGTGTGAACTTTTACATTATGCGACGTTTGGATTTTGAGTTTATTTTTCGGTGGATGACTACGAATTTTTTTTTTCCAAATTTGGGTTTCAATGTCACGAGTTGGGTAGTTTGTGAAGTTTTTACCTTTTTTAATTTGGGTTTTAGTTTCGCGAGTTCTACAGTNTTATTTATTTATTTATTTTATTTATTTATTTATTTTTTTTCTCCCCCGCCCCCCTACAATGGTTGGTATATGCACTGAGATATATTTATACAAATTACAAGTAAAAATTGAGCTGAAAATGGAGAAACAAGGAATGCAGTGCAATGTGCGATATCCTACTTAAACATTGCTTTTCGACTGCTATGACAATTCTCAAAACTTTAAGCTGAAAGGCATGTTAGAAAATGTAGCCAAACAAGAGACGACAAGTACAATTTTTTTATTATTATTATTATTATTTATTTTTTATTTTTTTTTAGCATTAATCTGGATTCCAAGTAGGAAGATAACGCTGGGGACAAATGAACATTCTTATGTAAGGATTTAGATTATGTCTCTGAATTCTTTGCTGCCTTGTAAAAAAACTCGGTAATGCTGTTTTTAGTTATACATAAGTTTGGTGTTCGTTTTTGAACTTAGATTATGTCTCTGAACTCTTTGTTGCCTAATAAAAGTATTTGTCGTAACCTACAGTTGTACTAATCAATGGCTTGAAAGAATAGAGGTATCTGCCACAGTTGTCACCAGCCTGGGCATCAATTGTATTACTGTCCAAAAAAAAGGTGTGGAAACTGTTTACAGGGAATTGTAAAAATGATGGAGGTGGAGAAGAAGATGGTAAACGTAGGCCAAATATTCTTGTGCTATACTAAAGATTGTGGATATTTCAATTGGAATGACGTGAAGTCCTATAAGAAAAAACCCTTATCGTTTGAAGGACAGTCTAGCGATTTTTGTGATGGAACGCAATCAAGCAACGTTGGGACTTTTCGAAATCAAGCTACAGCACCAATTGACGACTTGTAGAAAAGTGTTGCCACATTAAAGATTTAAGAAGAGGATGTGGAGATATCATTTTAAATAACTATCCGGAAGCGAAAAGGGAAATCGGAAGATAATGTGGAGGGAAAGCGCAAAGCGTAGAATTGATTTCTATGTTTACGACACTTATGCAACCGTAGCTATTAGTGAAACTTGTGTATGTGGATATTTCAATTAAACTTATGTTTATGTTTATTTGAATATTTCAATTAAACTTATGTTTATGTGTATTTGGATGGCTTGTGATAATCTGTTGTACAAGTACAGGTTCATGGCTTGTGATAATGTCATTGCATATAGGATGGTATTTCAACTCCCCTTGTGTACGATATACTTCATTGATTTATAATGCTGACCTAGTTGGAAGACTTTGAATTCTAGAATAGGAAATCGCCCTCTTCTTTTCAATTGAAATATCATTTTCTTATCAAGAATCAAACGTTTGCTGTCATCCATACTGGAATTGTACCACCATATCCTAATGATAATTGCCCTCCAAGGTGTTGGGATGGCGTTTTCCACAGTGTTTGTATTGTTGAAATTTTGAAAGAACAATGGAATTGGCATTGAAAGAAAATCAGGACATTGACTGTAGACATAAAGGATGAACCAGGCATGCAACTAGTCCCTAGCCATAGTTACTACATTACTCGAGAAGTGAGAGAGCTCGAAAATTGGAGGTGATGACAAAAATGACCTACATACTTCCATTGTCTAGTCCAAGTCCTGTCATCTGTTTTCTGTCTGAGTAAATTACCTTATGAAAATTGGAGAATTAAAGACAATGAGATGGACATGAAAAATGAAAATCTGGATCACTTGCAAATCAAATACAATGAAAAAGCAATAATTAATGTGTTTCCGAGCCTTAAAAAAATAACAAAATTAAGAATAGAAACACCTATTTCTTAACTAAAGGTTTCTAGAATAGAACTAGCATTAGCAATAAGCATCAATTTCTTGCATAAGAAGGGCATCTAAATATCAGGTTACAAAAGCAAAGGTTTCTAGTTATACAACCAAAGGAAGAACCCATTAAAAATAATAGCTTCTCCCTCAATTACAAATACAAAAATAGGTTCGTCATCCTTCAATTATCCTTCTTTCGAGTTTCACGTCCTTGAATTCAAACAATGCTTACAAACATCTGATATAGTCCACGCTCTCTTGCGTCCCAAAAATTTGATGTGTTTGAGAAGACGATACGTTATGATCTTGGACCTCCTCAATATTTGTTGTGTTCTCGACATTTCCTTTCAGTCTACTACACCTCATTGAAACTGTGGAATTTGTTGGAACCTGTACATGATGCAACCAGAACTTAGTGAAAAATGAAATGAAATTATTATACAATTAAATGGAAGATAACACTTATGCAGAGATAGAATCACCATTTTTCGACCCTTGGCTTTCTTAGAATTTTTTTCCAGCGGACCTTTTTTGCCCAATTTTTTAGGTGTACCTTTACTTTTTGTAAGTTTCGGATCCAAAATGTGCTGGCTTTCATCATTTTGAGGTTCAAGTAAATGCGGACCCAGTTACTACATTTCAATTTAGACAATTGGTGTGTCTGGAATTCAGTCTACTCCAATAGATGATCGGATTGTTCTTCGTTCGCCGCCNTACTACATTTCAATTTAGACAATTGGTGTGTCTGGAATTCAGTCTACTCCAATAGATGATCGGATTGTTCTTCGTTCGCCGCCACCAAGTTTGCCATCTTAGTACAAGCAAGACAAAACCTCTCATATCGTAATTGTTCAGCTGTCGAAACCAAACCATCGTACGTTGTTGGGACCCGTGTATATGATCTAGTGACATCCTTCCTCCATCTCCACAAGACATACTTCTCAGGAAGCAACTGTACATCATTTCGAATTAAAACAGATATTGAGTTTCTAAAAATGATACCTCGAAACTCAAACAAATGACAATTGCACTCAATCTCACAACTGTCTCTACGAAAATAAACTATAAATATTTTTTCTTCATTCCTACGCCAATAATGATATCCTCTCGAACCTCGTACTTCGTTTACACGAAGGAGTCTTTCGCAAATAATACTTCACAGTAAACCTTTCATGTGAATTCTTGTTAGAACTCCCTGAATTTTGTGATAGTGTACACATCTTGAAATTGTTTCTCCATATCGTACTTAATGGCACAAGGAACCAAGAATAATCTAAAATCAGCTTGAAATTTTTTTTCCACTTTACTCCTTGACGCCCGCTCATACTACTCGACAAAAAGCTTTAAAGATGTTTTCGAATGCACAGTCATCGAATAATGCATTCATGCTTTCATTCATTTATGTGGTAGACATACCAATCCAGAATGTTGTTTCAAGGTAGCATATAACACAACGACTTCTCTCATTATATAGTCCATTTAACCAAACGTGATCTTGTAATTTAAGATGATCAAGCATATTCAACTAACCTTCTTCGGATTCTTCACAACTTACTGTGTCATAGACTAACTCATGTATAGCATGCATTATTGAACCTTTGGCATTGTGATAGCCAAACTTCTCCGGTAACTTCTTCATTATATGTCATAAGCACCATCTACACTTAGTATTAGGGAAAACAATTTGAATAGCATTTTGCATAGCTCGGTCTTGATCTGTAATTATACTGTTGAGAGGTCACCCATTCATGCATTCTAGCTATGTGCTAAATATCTAAACAAATGTGTTGATATCTTTATTTGAAACCAAACTACAACCCAGAAGAGTTGAATGCCCATGGTGATTTACCCTTACGAAAGGTGCGAAAGGCATATCATACTTGTAAGTTAGTATGTGATGTCAAAAGTAACGATATCTCGAAATTCCCTATATGCTTCACGACATCTGCTATATGCCCAAAAAACATTTCTCAACTGACTCTCTTCATCCAAGTCCACACTAAAGAAACAGCGAGGACTACGTACTTGCATTTTCGAGAAATATGCTTGTATTGTAGGAGCAGCATTCCATTCTCCAAGTCTTAAACGTCGCACTTTCTCGGTGAAATTTCTACAATCTTTCTCAACATGTCATATTATCAAAACCACCTGCCTCCATTACAGTTGAATTAAAGCTTTTATGCACTGGTATTTTTGCTACGTCATTTACCTCAAGCCATCTTTTGATGTATTCATTAAGTTGACGATTACAACCATACAACTTAGACTTAGATGGGCTTGTTTTATGGTTATGCTGTAAATGCACAACGTTTATTCGAAATATTCCACATGTATCAGAACACGCAGTCAACCTAGCTTTACACAGTTTCAATTGTTGGCGGAGGATGCAAAGTACTTTTCTTACTGTTTTGTTGCCCTTCTCTACTACAAGTGAAACTCACATACCGTACCATCCTATCATCTCCCCTCTTTGTATTTCGTTTTCTAACAGGAAAGCCAACTTGATAAGCATACCTCTTGTAGAATTCAAATACCTTAGTCTCGTCCCCAAATTTCATAACAACCTTAGGCACCAATATCTCATTTTCCACACCTAACCTTTCCTCAACCAAACCATCGTCGCCCACAAAATTACATGAGTTAACATCCACTCCTACAAGAGTAACATTTCACATTAAGCTTCCAATTAATAATATGCTGGAGAATTTGTAAGACAGTAAAAACCAACAGAGATGAAACAATTGTTTTCAAAGCAGCGATAGAGTTCAAATAAACATCCACATCCCCCATCCAATATCAGACTTTGGGCACCAATATAAGCAACAAAATTGAACCTTGCGAAGCAGGAAAGTTATGGCACTTCATATTTATCTATTATACACCTAGCCTCATCAGTGAGGCATTTTAAGCAAGACAATTGCCATAATTTTATCTGCCCTTTATTTTCATTGGGTATATAAAAAAGTATTACGGCAAAGTTCATAAATAAACTAAGTATACCGTGGCTGGCTTTCTCAGCAACCATGTTGTTTGAGGCATTATGTGACTCCCCTTCCAAACACCTGTCATTCTCTGTAACGACGGAGGAAGAAGAAGGAAAATCATGAATTTATGTCGTCAACCATTACATTTCGAACGGAAAAGGGAAAAAATCACCATTTGAGCCGGTGGTATCTTCAAATCCACCCGCTACCACATCGGGGAAGGAGAAAATTGATCTGCGAGCCCATCCATTACATGGGTTATGTGGGTCAGATGCCACTGTCGAGGTTCAAAGCGGGAGAGTGGAATGGGAATGAAAGTGAAAGGTTTGGATTTCAATTTTGGGTTTTGATGCAATAGGTTTTAAAAATAAAAATTCATAAAAAATAAAAATAAATAAATTGGGCGAGAAATTGAATTCCTTTTGTTTTGCCAATCAAAATCTTCTGCCAATCAAAAAAAGCCACATCAGCATTTTGAATGGTATAATGTACCCTTAGCATATAAGAATAATGTTAAGCGTACATTTCATAATTGACATCATTATGTACATTCCATTGGAGTTTTAAAACTGTTGAGCGAGAAAGTGTGTTTAAAAGAAAAAAAATATTCAATCATATGTCATCACATGACACACGTCAATCATTATGTCAAAAAAATGTATTAGTAGCTTAATTGAAAATATAACCCCTCTTTGATTAGTTGATTTTTAGAGAAAATGGTACTAAGCCACTTTTTAACATAAATTAAAATCTAATTTTAATCTCAAACTAAAATCAATAATTAATTTTAATCACACATTTCAATAAATTCACAATTTTTCTAATCACATTTTTCAACTTTTATAAAATCTATTAAAAATCTAATTTTAATTTACACTAAATAGAACCTAAAAAGATTAAAGTAGTTATGAATAAAATAACTTCTTGAAAAAGATTTTGAATAAAATAAAACTGAACTCTCCAACCTTACATGTTAAAGTTACTAATCCCTAACTTTCAACAATAGAGTTGTGAGTCTCCAACATATTTGAATCTGTTAATTTCAATCCCCGTGTGACGAAATCCTCAATTTTGACTTTAAAATCGCGTGCGATTTTGAGATGATGTTAAATGACTAACGATTTTGCACACCTGCAAGTTATTTGAAATTAGCATGTCTACATTGATTATTCCGGCCAAGTGAGTGTATATATATATGTGAGAAAGAAAGGAGCAGGGAAGCGGGCGCCATGGCACCCAAGAGAAAGAAAGGAGCGGGGAGGCAGGCGCCTTGGCGCCCGACTCAGCTATATATATAGCTGTTTTTCCCTTCATTTTGGATCTGGTTTTTGAGAGAAAAATACAAGAGAGGGCTTGGAGAGAATTTAACAAGTAAGAGGTTGTTCTTCTTGGATATAAATTCAAAGCTATTTTTCTTTCTTGGGGATTAACATAAGGCTTGTTCAAGTAATCCTATCCATTGTTCTTTATATATATTGAAAATCATTTCTTCCCCAATTTTCTTATCTTTCCTTTCATCTTCAAGTAAGTTGGGATTTTCACATTGCAAGTTTATTTATTCTTGGGCAATCTTGGGAATTGTTTTTCCCAACAATTTGGTATCAGAGCTTCTTCTTAAATCAGGGTGGTTAAGCTCCGATTTTTGGTGGGTGGTTTGAACTTTGTTGTGCACACAAGGTGTTTGTGAAAATTCCCAAGTGAACTTTATTGTTTTATTTCCGGTAAACAAGTAGATAAATCATGTTTACTAGAGGAACGGTGAAGATTGGGAAGTATAAGATAGAGAAATTCAATGGGAAGAATGACTTCTCATATTGGAGAATGCAAATGAGAAATTTGTTAATTTCTCAAAAGTTGCACAAGGCATTGGCGGGAAAGGAGAAGGAGCACATATATATGTCTGACGAGGATGGGAAGATCTAGATCTTGAGGCACGAGCGTCTATCATTCTATGCCTTGAAAGAGATGTTGCTTTCTTGGTTGTGTTGGGAATCTACTTATACATGCACGGCGGAATTTAAAATTATTTCGATTCCCATCCAATAGATCTCATTGTGTTTGGTTAGGAATTGTGATAAGATTGTACCTTTTCCAGATCTGCAATCCTTTTGCTTTTCTTTTCGTTCCACAACTTTGATTCGCCACCACAGCTGTCCAATTGTCCAGCCTCCAACGGTGATCCACACAGAGAATATGATTGCAGCCTCTAGGGTTTTCTCTTGTGCTAGCAAGAATAATGAAAACCTTAATGGACCTCAAACCCTAGTTATGTATTTATATAAACCCAAACAGGCTCGGCCCGGTCCGGTCCAATAATTAATTAATCCAATTAATTAAACCCGGTCCGTGAATTAATTAATTCAATTAATTAATTCGAAAATATAAATAACAAATCCAATTAATTAATTTATTCAACGATTGTTAAATTAACCAATTGGCAATTTGCAATCTTCCAATTCTCTTTTGTGTGTGACCCATTAGGTTCCCGACCACGATGCCTAACGACGTGAAATATTATTTTGATCTAATCAAAATTGATAAATTAAAACACTCTTTTAATTTATCGTCAATTCACATTCGCCGTCCCTGATTGACATCTAGCAATATGAAACGCAGATCATAATCTCCTACTATCTAAGAGTGACGAATCCTTTATTGATCAATCACAACCTTCATACGATTCTTGACGTACCCGAACGATGTCGTATTAGCGGCCCTTTTCAGAGCAACATCCAACACCGCCAAAGTATGACTGTCCTCATATAAGGTACCATGACGACCTCAAGTCAAAGGACCAATTTCACTACCGAACGTTAGAGATTAACCACCGACACTCAGATAGTTATCCATGTGGAATCTCTCGACGGGTCTCCAATGTTTTGTTCTATAACAAACATCCACGTGTTCATTTAAGTGTCACCACACTTTAACTTGTGAGATCAGCTACTTACTTCACAAGTAAGAAATGCCACACGTGATGGTCTATCCGTAATAACGATATCCGTATCTCGTTATTACTTACGACCACGGATGATTTAAGATTCAATCTGATGTAATTTGTATCTCACAATCACAACTCCTTGTGATTAACAAATTACAAATATTTGAATCTACGGACTCTATTATTTATTTAATTGTCTATTAATTAAATAATAGATCTGCCATTTAATTGCATTAATTATATATAAAAGTATTTATGTCCAAAGTCGATTGGACCTAGGGCATAATACTTACAGGTTGATGGTGCGAAAACGGCGGCGGAGGTGTGGACAAAGTTGGAGGCGAACTTCATGACGAAGACTTTAATAAATCGGATCTATTTGAAGTCCAAATTGTATACTTACAAGATGGATGAAGGTACACCAATCCGAGAGTACGTCAACAAGTTTGATAGGTGCATATCGGACTTGAAGGACATTGATGTGAAAGTAGATGATGAGGATCAAGCACTTCTACTACTCTTTCATTGCCAAAGTCTTACGAGAACCTAGTACAAACATTGATGCTTGTGGGTGATAAACTTGTGATGGAGGACACTAGAACGTCACTTCTAGCGGATGATCTTCGAAAGATTGCAACTAGTGGCATGTCTACCATTGGTGACAAGGAGCAAGTTCAAGGATTGTTTGTAAGAGGTAGAAGCAATGTGCGACCAAAAGGTAAGGGAGAAAAATCTAGATCGAGTTCTAGACCTCTTGCGGAAAGGCCTTGTTTCAAATGCGGCGAACTTGGGAATTTCAAGGCGAATTCTACTAACAAAAAGGGTTGGAAGAAGAACAATAAGAACAACAACAACGGGAAGGTGCAAGTCAAGCAAGAGGTTAGCTATGCCTCGGAAGGAGGGGAAAGCGATGAGTGCTACACCATCACTTGTGATGAAGAAATCTCCGGTAAGTGGATTCTTGACTCTGGATGCTCTTACCATATGTGTCCAAATAGGAAGTGGTTTACTACCTATAGAAGCACTGATGGTGGAACCGTGTTGATGGGTAATAACCATTCCTATAAAACGGTGGGGCTCAGTTCAATTAGAATCAAGATGTATGATGGAGTGATTAGAACATTGATGGATGTTAGACATGTTCCTGATTTGCGGAAGAACTTTATCTCTGTTGGTGCTTTAGACTTCGGTGGTTGCAAGATTGTAACATGGAATGGAGTAAAGAAGGTTGTTCATGGTTCTTTGATTGTAATGAAGGGTATTCGTGAAGGCAATCTCTATGCTCTTCAGCGTACTACAGTTACAGAAGATGTAGCGGTTGGAACAAGTGGAAGTGGTGGAGACCCATGTGAATGCACTCGGCTATGGCATAGGAGGCTTGGGCATATGTCTGAAAAGGGACTAGATCTGCTAGTGAAGAAAGATTTGCTAAAGAACTTGAAGAAGCCTTGCATGGATTTCTGCGAGCATTACGTGTACGGTAAAGCACACCGAGTTCAGTTCCAGCCTAGCAAACATAGAAGCAGAGGTATTCTAGACTATGTACACACGGCTGTATAGGGTCCGGCTTCTATCACTTCCAAAGGCGGTTCCATATATTTTGTCACATTTGTTGATGATTATTCTAGATATGCTTGGATTTATTTTTTGAAGCATAAGAATGAGGTATTCGACATTTTCAAGAAGTGGAAAGCAATGGTTGAAAACAGAACAGGAAAGAAATTGAAGACACTGCGATCTGATAACAGTACTGAGTATACAGATGGTGCTTTCAAGGAGTTCTGTGGTAAGGAAGGCATTGCGAGACACTGGACAGTTAGGAATACACCGCAACAGAATGGGGTCGCCGAAAGACTGAATCGCACATTTCGAGAGAAATCGATGTGTATGCGATCCTATGCTGTTTGGGCAGAGAATGGTGGGCAGAGTCAGTTGCAAATGCTTGCTACATAGTGAACCGGTCTCCACATTCAAGGTTAGATGGAGATGTACCTTACAGGGTATTGACAGGAGAACATGCAGATTATGAGAAACTCAGAATATTCGGATGCACAGCTTACTATCACATCAACGAGGGAAAGCTTGATGCGAGGGCCAAGAAGGCTATATTCTTGGGGTATGCGGCAGGTGTAAAAAGCTATCGCCTATGGTGTGTAGAGGATTCTAAGTTCATAATCAGCAGAGATGTTACTTTTGATGAGAACTCCATAATAGCTTCGTTGAAAGCTACAGTGTCCGGTGGTGATGATGTTGAGACTACAAAGTCTCAAGTTGTTGACATAGAACTTAGAGATCAACTTGGTTCTAGTCATGTTCAAGAGAAGCATCATGTAGATACTCAAGATGAGAGTGATGATGAGCTTGAACAAGAGACGGTTCAACAAGAGAATGTACAGGCACAGCAACAACAGCAGCTTGCAGATAACTTGGCTTCCTCTAGGCCACGGCGTACTTACAAGCAAGTTCTAAAGTTGGGGTCAGACGAGCCTTTGAGGCACTATGGACAGACAAATTTGTTTGAGTATGCACTTTCGGTGGAGGATGATGAGCCTACCACTTTCAAGGAAGCTATTTTA